GCTATAGGAGAGTAAAGATTTCTGAAGATATCTTAAGATATTATCACATTAGTAAGGTATTTCTCTCACTTAGAAACCCTATCCTGTCCTATTAGAAGAGGCAAATTGACATCTTTCCTCTTTCCCTAATACGTATTTGGTAGGTAACTTCCTAAACAACTTTTATTCATGGATGATACAATAAATTATTCACTATTTACCACAAAAGGAATAACTGAGAATAAGATTATTATAAGAAACACAAATCTTGATATAACTGTGTTCTTCTTTTTGCTTCCCCCATTTAAGTTAGCTCTCTCCAATAAACCCTTTCTGGATTTCTAAATGTCTGCATTTTGGCCTTTGCTGATCAACCTCTTCATGAGTTTTCATGATTTTCAGAACACAATGTCCTTTTAATCTCTCTAACCCCAAAGAGCTCTTCTATCTCTGAGGTGTGAATTTCAATTAGTGTCCTGAGCTACATCTCTATAAAGCTGTTGTGCAAGTGATGCAAACTAAACATGTTCATTTTCCCAATCTGCAGCAAACCTGCTCCCTGACTGTGTAAGGGACACAGCTTAGGAAGGCACACCATCCTTTATCCAGATGCTTAAGCCAGAAATCTGGTGCCATCCTTGATTCGCTTCCGCTTTTCCTTAACCCTACATTCAGTCGAGCTCTATATCCTGCTGTTTCTTCTTCCTCAGTGTCTCCCAAATGTGCTGACTTTGCTACATGCTTACTGCCATCTCCCTAATATAGATGTTCATAACTTTTCACCTGGATGACTGCTTTATCATTAGTCACTATGTAGCTATGATTCCCATGTCCATCTAGCAGACAGAGTGACCTTTTCAGAATATAAATCTGACCATGTTACTGTTTTGACAACACTGAATGTCCTTCCATTGCCTGAAGAGCAGAGATCAAATTCCTTAATGTGGCCCTGGGCCCTCAACGACCTGACCCCTGCCTATCTCTCAAACATCACCTCACCATACTCTCGCCAACAAACCATACACAAATGTGTTGGTTTCTTGATATTGCACACTTTTAAACCTCTATGCCTTTGTGCAGGCTATTTCTTTGGCTCACAGAACACCCTTTCTTCTCTGGGAAAAGAATCTTTGAGCCAGTTAGGTTTCCCTCTCTGTTTCCCACACTCATCATACTTTATAACCACTTGCCCCATTCCTGTCTTCCCACTAGAACGTAAGTACTAGGAGGAGGAATAATGTCTGTTTTGTTCATTCCAGTATTTCCAGCATTGAGCACAATGAAGTCAGAATAAATACTTGTTAACTAAATGAGTAGTATGATTCTAACTGAAAATTCACCATTAAGAATTTAGAATGAATATTATTAGAAAACATGAGAAATTTCCCCACAAATGGCATAACTGGTCACAACTGATCTTTGGTGGGTATCTGTAACACCCCAGAGTTTAAATCCCGAATGTTACGTCTGCAGTCAAATTTGCACTTCCTCAGACCTATAATCCAGGCTGGTGTTTAGCTGCCCAGGCTGACATCCGGGCTGATTCATATTAAAATATGACCGTTTGAGGTTAGCTTCCACGGCTGTTATACCACTGTAATTGTCAGTCATTTGCCTTTTAGATCAGAGTTTAACTGACTTGGAGGAAGAAAACAACAGAAGACTTGCTTTTCAATCTTTTACCAGAAAACAATTAGTATACTTCCAAATAGATGTCTATTTGCAATTCTCTTAAATTAAATATATGCCTCAGAAGAAAATTAAAATGGAGACTAGAACTTGAGGCTATATTCCTAAGTTGCTTTTTATTTTCTTGAGACAGGATCTTTCTGTGTTGCCCAGGTTTCCCAGGCCAGAGTGCAGCAGTAAAAACATAGCTCACTGCAGCCTCATACCACCCACCAGCTATACTCCCACCTCTCAGCCTCCTGAGTAGCTGGGACTATAGGTGCACATCACCACACCCAGCTAATTTTTGTATGTTTTGTAGAGAATGGGGTTTCATGATGTTACCCAGGCTGGTCTCAAATTCTTGTGTTCAAGTGACCTGTCTGTCTCAGCCTCCCAAAGTACTGGGATTACAGGCATGAGCCATCATGCCTGGCCTATATTCCTAAGCTTTTAACTTGTCCTCTATGGATAAAATTCTAAAATACGGTCTTTAAAAATAAGACCTGAGCTTTCCCCAAATCTGAATAACTAAATAAGCCATTTTAACCTTTACTCCATTCAGTCAGCAAATATTCCCCGGGCACGTCAGGCTTGTGGTAAGTGCTATGGGGGAATTATATTTTGATGTGTTTTATAATGTGCTATGATTATCTAGTTCTTGTCACTCTGTGACCCTTCAGACAACAGCTGGCCATTCTCTTCCTATGTGTCAGGAAGAGGTTCTTACAAAAGAACACAGGAGGAAAATCCTGGGCCTTTAAACTTCAAAAGGCCAAGCCCTGAAAGACTTGGGGGATAACATTTTTCAAAACCATGTAATCGGTTGGAACATTTTTTCCAACCCCAGATTAGGAAAAGAATCTTTGTCAAAAGAAGAGAGGAGCAAATATGAGAAGAGGGGAGAGATGAGGTGGAGGGGAAGAAGACAAGAAGGGAGAGGAGGAAAGGAGAGGACACAGGAAAAGAGGACGGGAGGGGAGGGGAGAGCCAGAGGGAAGCAAATCCTGAGAAATTCACCACATAGGGGTCTGTTCTAGACCTTCTCAGTCTCTATCCAGCTAGAGAGAAAGTTAGGACAGACAAGTAGGCTTACGGACCTAAGTAGATGGGAACCCATTCCACCTTTCCCAACAGGGTTGATAAAAGCAATAAGAAGAAGTGTTCCTATGTCCGTCATTGTATCAGTTAAAAGTCCATTGGAAAAGCAGAAACGACCCTGAGCATTCAAAACTGGGAGATTTAATTTTAATGGGGGAGTGGCTACATGGGTGGCAGAGAAACTGAGAAGCTGAATGGGACAGTGACAAAATCTAGAGATTAGCAGCAGTAGGAAGCCACTACTGTCCCTATGCTGGAAGGACAATGGAAAGATATAATGTTATTGAAGCCCAGGGGCCAAGGTCATTCGGGGAAGCTGGAACCACAGCAGGCCTATGGTTCACAGGGGAGTAGACCACTAAGGAAATGCAGCTAATGATGATGATGCAAAGAAAGATAGAGGAAAACACTGGACTGTCCTTTCTTTTTTTTTTTTTTTAATTTTTTATTGGATTTTAGGTTTTGGGGTACATGAGCAGAGCATGCAAGACAGTTGCATAGGTACACACATGGCAGTGTGCTTTGCTTTCCTTCTCCCCTAAAGGAGAAAATACTACAGGCAGCCAGAGAGAAAGGTCGAGTTACCCACAAAGGGAAGCCCATCAGACTCACAGCAGATCTCTCGGCAGAAACACTACAAGCCAGAAGAGAGTGGGGGCCAATATTCAACATTCTTAAAGAAAAGAACTTTCAACCCAGAATTTCATATCCAGCCAAACTGAGCTTCAGAAGTGGACTGTCCTTTCTATGGGCTCTTTAATCATTCACAAATGTCTCACAAGCACCAACCCCAACCTGGAATCTAGCTGACTGGTGTGAGTCACCCTCTACCAGAGCAAGGGGAGGGTGAATCATGGGTTTGGGGGAAAACACATCCATGATGCGGGAGCCAAGAAAATGTCTGCAGCAGGTGTCTAGGACTGTGGACCTAAGATAGCCTCACAGGATCTCCATGACCCAGAAAGACCCAGAAGAATCCAGAGCAAAGCAGACATGACAGGGAAGCCTGAAGACTTGAAGGGGCCTTGGAGTCTGAACAACAAAGAGACATGAAAGATCCACCTGGACAGGAAACTAAACACCAGATGGGCCCTCACACATCTCAGTGAATTCCAGGTGGACAGAAGATAGCATTGAAAAGACCAGACACTGGCCTCACCATAAGGAGTTGACTCCATGTTACTGCTTCCTACTGACACTCTCATCTCACACGTGAGTGATATGGAAGGGAAGAGGAGATCATCTAGCAGAACAGAGGCTGAAACCAAGTTCATTCATAAATAAAGAAAGGAAAGAACCCAGAACAATGAACAGATCTAGTCCTTCATTTAAAAGAGCCCATTGAATGTTGAGAAGGATGAACACATAACACAGATGTCTGCAATGCAGTGAAAAATGGAGAGAAACAGTTTATGTTAAAGGATGCACTGGGGCTGGATATGCACATAGAGAAATTTCAGTGCTTGCCTGCAAGGTAGGGCCTCTCAGAGAAGGCCCTCACAGACAGGTGATATTTGATCTGAGTCTTCAGGGATGAATAGAAATTTAGCAAGCAGATGGAGGAGGGAGCCTTACTTCCCATATAGTCTTCGTAGATTCCTCTCAATGCATGATTTTCAAGAGAAGTCCATATATTCCTTATATAACTATTGCCCATTTAATTCTTTCAGAAGCATGGCAGATCTCTCAGTTATCCTCCTTTTGATTAGTAAATGGGGCAGTCCCAGAAGGGTAAGATAGATGTGGCCTGAGTTTCAACCCTGATGAATAGAATCAGCAGCTTCCTTTATGTCTCTTCCTTGTTCCTTCCTTGTTTAAGGAAATGAGTTCCTTAAAATACATCCTTTTGTAGATTCATTCAGGCCATTTCTAGACTTCAGTCTAGATCTCAAAGCATTCGGGTAGTCTTATAAAATGTGTAATCCATAAGAAAAATATAGTTAAGCCATCTAACATATTATCTCCACATTGACCAAACTTCTATAATGAAATAAATTTCAAATTATCCTGACATACTCTTCTGTCATGACTTTCCTCAAAATACTGTATTTTGTTATTTTTTAAACAGTGAAACATGACTACTGATTCAAAAAGAAACCTTTCTATCACTTACTAAAAAAAAAAACCCTAAATTTAACTTTTATAATAGAATAAGAAATAAAACATATCGTTCTCTCTATTGTTTACAAAATAGCAAATAATTGTATTACAGAAACAATAAAAGTCATTCTACTGTTTTGAATTTTTTTTACCTCATTAGAGATATCTGTTCCAGAGAGATCTATTGATACTAATGAAAAGATGTTTACAATATATGCAATTCCTTGGGCGGTCAAATGTTCACAATTTCGTAAACTCAAGTAGTTTAAATTAGGGCAGCTGAAAGAAAGTAGCATGAATTAATTTTAGCTGTCAATCATATTGTCAGTAAGCAATTTCTTTGTACAAAAACTATCTTGGAAAAACAAATGCTATTGAAGAAAGGATTTTCCTTTACTCAACATAAATATAAGACTCAAAGTAGAAAGTAATTTGGCATTATGAAGTTGGATGAAAGTGTAGTAGATTATTATATGACTTTCTGTAGTTTCATATTGCAATTTCTAATAAGGAAAAAATATATCACATACATATCAAAAACTACCATATAAGTACCACAATGAATGACCACTAAAAGTGCAAGTTAAGTTCCCTACTTATCCCTTACAAGTCTGCTACAGGAATTGTACAAGACCTCTCACAAGAGGGGAGTCGAGAATAAACTAACCAGCCAGAACACCCCTTGGGAAATGCTAGAGTAAAGTTTTACTTAGAGATAATCTCCTTGAAAAAGTACAGAGAAGCCACCTTATCTAGATAGCTGTTATTTCATGAATGACTCCATCTCAGATGTAATTTAAATATAATAATATAATATAAAAATTGGTTCAATCTATGACTTCGATGTCTTTTATATAGTTTCACTGAATAATCAGTTTTTGGGCATCTCTGATGTTCCCCCAAATATCATGAAATCTATGCTTTCAGGTGTCTCATCTCTCCTATTATCAAATATGCAATTACTAATGATACAATGTAAAAGACTGTTTTGTCATACCGCTCAGACAGTTTCAGAACAGAGACATCACTTAGCTGCACACAGTTGCTTAAATTTAGCTCTCTTATCCTTATGCTTGCAGGACCATCAAGAAATTGCCTTAGTCCCACATCACCAATTCTGCAGGGAAGAGTGAGAAAAACTTTACATGTGATTCTATATATAAACATATATAATAATATTAAAGTAATAGCTACCATACCCAATATATTTCCAAAGTAGCAAGGTAATATGTGTATACTGGTATTTTGTCAACATTTTGAAACCCAATTTTATTATGTAGATTTTAATGTAATAAAAAAGTACAAATGAGGGAAATGGGAAAAGTATTAATTAAAATGTTATTTCTGTTCCTTTATTCATAATTTTTAATAAGACAGATGGCCCTCAAGGTCTTTTTCTCTTGAGTTAAAATGTGATCAAGTTAACTAATTCCTGCTACCATTTCCTGCAAAAGAAAAAGACAAAACTTAGGAGAATGAGAACTAAGACTACCAGTCAAACTACTGCCAGAATTTTGGAGAAATTTTCACTAACTACAAGGTGAATCTGCTGGACAGGAAACTCAACATGAGGCCTTTGGCTTCTTTCCTTCTGAATCAGAGAAAATCTGACGCTGGAAGACCTTGACCTCAGCCTTCGCACACTAACCTAATCAGAAACTTCCTCTGTGTGTCAGTGCCATACCCCTACCGTGTCAATCCTGCTTTATAAATGGCTGGATGTCCATTTGGCCATCAGTTCCCTGTCTTTTGTTGGAATCTTCATTTCTAATTCCATTTGAGAAACACCAGATCTTTCTAAGAGGCATTTCAGAAAATAAAACAGGACAGGAGTTTGCATCAATGCTTTCATTCCTAAGAGGCGGTTTTCACAACAGCTCTAGAGGTAGGCATACAGATGGGAAGAGAACTGGGAGCAGAACATGCTGATTGTTGACATCCTTTACACCCTTCATTGGTTCAGATTTGCAAAGAACTGAGCAGTAAAGGCAAAAGATGATATCCTTTCAGCTGAAAGAGCCATAGTAGGTGGATGCCTGCTGTGTCCATCAACCCATCTTCCACCTGTAAGAGGGGGAGTGTGCCAGCACCTGGGAAAGCAGTTAAGGGCATGTGTGTGTGTGTGCACGCATGCACACACAGAAATTCATATTATAGTCAAGAAAGGATTAAAAGTCAATGGAAAAGATTATTTAGGTAATGATCCAAATTAATTGGTTAACGCAGTTAGGAAGGGCCAAACCTGGGTGTGTATCAAAAGTATCCATGCTGTTTTTTTTTTTTTTAATACACAAGCTAGGGTTCCATCCCTAAAGATTCAGACTTAATAGCTCTGAAATGGGGCTTAAGCATCTATAGTTTTATTCAGTTCCTCAGGTGATTCTGATACCCTAAGATTTTTACTTTTAAATCCTTTCAAATATGTATTTTTAATTTATCGTTTTGTTGCTGATTCTTGAGTTAATTGCTTTGTAGTGAGAGAATACAATTTGTTGATAAAAGTAGATTGAAAGTTGTTGGAACTTGCTTTTAAACTTTGTCCATGGTTGATTTTTTTCAAGGATTGATGTGTTTTTCAGAAAAGTATATATTCTTTAATGCTCCAACTTACCATTTTAGGTCTAACTCTTATATATAAATTTTAAAATCTTAAAACTCTGATACTAAGCTTTATCTTTTTACCCTGTTATACTTTTTCATCCTCCCTCTGCTGTCATGTCTTCAAAATGATCTTCCAGCTCTATAATTCCCTGAGTTCTAATCTGCTAATCAGCAATCCATTGTTTATTTGAATAACTATATTACATCATTTGTTTCTAAAAGTTAGGTTTTTTTCCCAGATAAATATAATTGTTTTATCATGATTGGTTGTCTGCTCATATTTCTGATTCCATTTTTTATTTCTTCAAACATTTCATACATGGTTACTTAACATTCTATGTCTGGCAGTTCCTATATCTGAATTACCTGAAGGTCAAATGTATTTTGCTGTTTCTGTGACTCTTTCTCACAGTGACTCATATCTTTGTGCATTTTGGCAATCTTTGACTTCGAGCACCTATTTATTTTATCTTTTTTTTTTTAAATTTTTTATTGCATTTTAGGTTTTGGGGTACATGAGCAGAACATGCAAGACAGCTGTGTAGGTACACACATGGCAGTGTGTTTTGCTTCCTTTCTCCCCTTCACCCACATTTGGCATTTCTCCCCAGGCTATACCTCCCCACCTCCCCCTCCCACTGGCCCTCGGCTTTTCCCCCCAATAGACCCCAGTGTTTAGTACTCCCCTCCCTGTGTCCATGTGTTCTCATTTTTCCTCACCCGCCCATGAGTGAGAATATGCAGTGTTTCATTTTCTGTTCTTGTGTCAGTTTGCTGAGAATGATGTTTTCCAGATTCATCCATGTCCCTACACACGACACAAACGCATCATTTCTGATTGCTGCATAATATTCCATGGTGTATATGTGCCACATTTTCCCAATCCAGTCTATCATCAATGGGCATTTGGGTTGATTCCAGGTCTTTGCTATTGTAAACAGTGCTGCAATGAACATTCGTGTACATGTGTCCTTATAGTAGAACGATTTATAGTCCTTTGGATATATATTCAGTAATGGGATTGCTGGGTCAAATGAAATTTCTATTTCTAAGGCCTTGAGGAATCGCCACACTGTCTTCCACAATGGATGAACTAATTTACACTCCCACCAACAGTGTAAAAGTGTTCCTTTTTCTCCACATCCTCTCCAGCATCTGTTGTCTCCAGATTTTTTAATGATCGCCATTCTAACTGGTGTGAGATGGTATCTCAATGTGGTTTTGATTTGCATCTCTCTGATGACCAGTGACGATGAGCATTTTTTCATATGACTGTTGGCCTCATACATGTCTTCTTTTGTAAAGTGTCTGTTCATATCCTTTGCCCAATTTTGAATGGGCTTGTTTTTTTCCTGTAAATCTGTTTGAGTTCTTTGTAAATTCTGGATATCAGCCCTTTGTCAGATGGGTAGACTGCGAAAATTTTTTCCCATTCTGTTAGTTGCCGATTCACTCTAGTGACTGTTTCTTTTGCCGTGCAGAATCTGTGGAGTTTGATTAGGTCCCATTTGTCTATTTTGGCTTTTGTTGCCAATGCTTTTGGTGTTTTGTTCATGAAGTCCTTGCCTACTCCTATGTCCTGGATAGTTTTGCCTAAATTTCCTTCTAGGGTTTTTATGGTGCCAGGTCTTATGTTTAAGTCTTTAATCCATCTGGAGTTAATTTTAGTGTAAGGTGTCAGGAAGGTGTCCAGTTTCTGCTTTCTGCACATGGCTAGCCAGTTTTCCCAACATCATTTGATAAAAAGGGAATCCTTTCCCCATTGCTTGTTTTTGTCAGGTTTATCAAAGATTGTATGGTTGTAGATATGTTGTGTCGCCTCCAGTGCCTCTGTTTTGTTCCATTGGTCTATATCTCTGTTTTGGTACCAGTCCCATGCTGTTTTGATTACTGTAGCCTTGTAGTATAGTTTGAAATCCGGTAGTGTGATGCCCCCCGCTGTGTTCCTTTTGCTTAGAATTGACTTGGCTATGCGGGCTCTCTTTTGGTTCCATATGAAGTTCATGGTGTTTTTTTCCAGTTCTGTGAAGAAAGTCAATGGTAGCTTGATGGGGATAGCGTTGATTCTGTAAATTACTTTGGGCAGTATAGCCATTTTCACGATATTAATTCTTCCTAACCATGAACATGGAATGTTTCTCCATCTGTTTGTGTCCTCTCTGATTTCGTTGAGCAGTGGTTTGTAGTTCTCCTTGAAGAGGTCCCTTACGTTCCTTGTGAGTTGTATTCCAAGGTATTTTATTCTTTTTGTAGCAATTGTGAATGGCAGTTCGTTCTTGATTTGGCTTTCTTTAAGTCCGTTATTGGTGTAGACGAATGCTTGTGATTTTTGTACATTGATTTTATACCCTGAGACTTTGCTGAAGTTGCTTATCAGTTTCAGAAGTTTTTGGGCTGAGGCGAGGGGGTCTTCTAGGTATACTATCATGTCGTCTGCAAATAGAGACAATTTGGCTTCCACCTTTCCTATTTGAATACCCTTTATTTCTTTTTCTTGTCTGATTGCTCTAGCTAGAACTTCCAGTACTATATTGAATAGGAGTGGTGAAAGAGGGCATCCTTGTCTAGTGCCGGATTTCAAAGGGAATACTTCCAGTTTTTGCCCATTCAGTATGATATTGGCTGTTGGTTTGTCATAAATAGCTTTTATTACTTTGAGATACGTTCCATCGATACTGAGTTTATTGAGGGTTTTTAGCATAAACGGCTGTTGAATTTTGTCAAATGCCTTCTCTGCGTCAGTTGAGATAATCATGTGGTTTTTGTTTTTGGTTCTGTTTGTGTGGTGAATTACATTTATAGACTTGCGTATGTTGAACCAGCCTTGCATCCCCGGGATGAATCCTACTTGATCGTGATGAATAAGTTTTTTGATTTGCTGTTGCAATCGGCTTGCCAATATTTTATTGAAGATTTTTGCATCTATGTTCATCATGGATATTGGCCTGAAGTTTTCTTTTCTGGTTGGGTCTCTGCCCGGTTTTGGTATCAGGATGATGTTGGTCTCATAAAATGATTTGGGAAGGATTCCCTCTTTTTGGATTATTTGGAATAGTTTTAGAAGGAATGGTACCAGCTCCTCTTTGTCTGTCTGGTAGAATTCGGCTGTGAACCCGTCTGGACCTGGGCTTTTTTTGTGTGGTAGGCTCTTAATTGCTGCCTCAACTTCTGACCTTGTTATTGGTCTATTCATAGTTTCAGCTTCCTCCTGGTTTAGGCTTGGGAGGACACAGGAGTCCAGGAATTTATCCATTTCTTCCAGGTTTACTAGTTTATGTGCATAGAGTTGTTTGTAATATTCTCTGATGATGGTTTGAATTTCTGTGGAATCTGTGGTGATTTCCCCTTTACCAGTTTTTATTGCATCTATTTGGTTGTTCTCTCTTTTATTTTTAATCAATCTGGCTAGTGGTCTGTCTATTTTGTTGATCTTTTCAAAAAACCAGCTCTTGGATTTATTGATTTTTTGAAGGGTTTTTTGTGTCTCAATCTCCTTCAGTTCAGCTCTGATCTTAG